AAATTCGAACAAAACATTCGAAATAGAAAGCCACTTTCAACCACTTTCAGCCTCATATCTCCCGCACCCTTATAACTATCGAGACGCAACCACCCCTATGCACGAATGGAGACTTGGGGCTACTACCACATACAAACACCATTCACGTGCGATGTGTAGTTTTTGCGGAAAAGTGAAATATAGGGACATACACGTCCATTTATATATATATATATATATATATATATAGATTAAGAGCATAGCCACTATATTAAAATTATTTATTAATCAGAAGTGTTAAATTCATTGAACAATTTAAGATATAGATCAAGGAAGAAAAGAAAGGATTACATTAAAATACTTTTTTCTATTCTACAACGGATTTTTTAGCTCCAACACACGCATTTATTTTTTGAACTAATTCTTTCCACATATCGAAATGTTTTTTTCTAGTAAATTCGTTGTCAAATTTTCCGCTGTTTATTTTCTTATTATTTTCTGTGTGAATAATATGTCTTTCTGTTCTTCGTTTATTTTTTTAGATAAAACATTGGAGGCTTCCATTTTGTTCCTGCGTCTCATATCGCTATAACAAATTAACAAATTAAAATAAACGTGCAAACTAATTAAGAATTGATGGAATGAAGGTTGGCCGTTAAGAAGTTAGTCACCAGATGTTGCCTGTACCACACCTCCTTCGTAATGCTGCACCTTGTAGTAATGCCACCTTCAAACTCCATCTTCGTACTGTTATGTAACCCTTAAGTCAAGCAACCTTGTAGCATTATGAAGCCGTCTTATGCCTGTCTCCTCTGCATCCATTTAATGTTCACTGATCATACCTTTATAGCAGTTTGTTTGTCTTGTATAATTTTAAGTATTATAACCTTTTTATATTAATACCAACTTAAGAGGGACTATTCCGATAGTCCGAAATGCAGTTTGGTTATTTCATGTTAATTACTCATCTAATCGAATTTTAATGCACACCTCTTTTCTCTTATTAAATGTACTACATTGATACCCGAGTGTTTGTCTTAATATCACTGGTGTGATAAGTCCTTATTATCTACCCCACATTAGTAGATATTTAATTAATTTAATTAAACCAAGGGCTAAAAGCAATTTGTAATAATTTAGCCGTTTACAGGCCAAATCGACTAACTCCATTTGTAAATTCTTAATATAATCGTCATTATTTTCAAATTTTTCGCGTAACTAATTTTATATATCGTTATATAGCTTAATATAACGATACATAAAAATACATTCTGCAATGTTTTTTTAAACATTGCAGAATGTATTTTTATTTAAAGTTTAAAGGGAATTTTAAAAAATAATTTATTTTATCAATTTTTATTCTTTGAATCACCCTGCAAGGTCANATTCTTTTTGTTTTGTGGAGTTAATCGATTTGGCAAGTGAGCCATTCAATCCACGTTGATTTGTTTACAACTTGTTACAGTTAAGTTCATTGGTCGAATCATTATAGTCGCAAACCCAGATGCATTGTAAATAATCTTATTATGCTTAACGGTATGGCCGCGTTTCTTTATGCAGCGCTTTACAGCGAACACACTGAAACTGGTTTCTAATTGGCCAATACTGCTTGTGACGTAATTTCGCTACACTCTCGCTGCATAAAGAAACGCGGGGTATATGTAATCAAGTGAGTATGACGTATTTCCGCTTGTCTTTCGAGCTCTCTCGATGGGTCTAAAGCATGGGTCGCCAAAGTGGTCTATATCGACCCCCGGGGGTCGATGTAACATTATTGGGGGGTCGATTGGGGGTAGATGGAAAAATTGAAACTAAAAATCACAAAGTTTTTTTTTCTTTGCTCATACACTTGCACTTGTAATAAAACTTTACGGTGGGGGTCAATGTGAGGTTTTGGAAAGTTTTTAGGAGTCGACTGTTAAAAAAGTTTGGCGATCCCTGGTCCCGCGGGGGGATAGGGAGAGCATTATAGCTTATCCGGAAAAACGGCTTCTAATGTACTATTTTAGATGCGATTTTTTGTTTTCAACTACATTTTAGTCTTCATTGAGTACTTGGGTGTATTAAATTGATAAAATTTCAGACATTGTTATAAATATTTTTATCTATTTCGATTTTTAAAATGTTCGAACCATTTTAAATTCGAATTTGTTATTGCATATTGGTCCGATTATAGAACGATTGTAAACGTTCCAGAAAATTGATCAAATTGAAAATAATTCGTTTGATTCTCGGCAATTCTCATCATTCTCAGCGGTAGGTGTTATGTAACAATTACTATGGTTGTTGAAATACTGAATATAAATGGGGTTTGCTTGCAAAATCCTCGGGGGCAAAGCCGCGGGTAACAGCTAGCATAATATAAAATAAATATTAATTTTTTTAATAAACATATTTTCACAAATTTGTGGAAATAAAATTGTTAAAAAAAATAATAAAAAGCAGATATTAACATGTTGTAGGAAGTTGTGAATGTGACCTTTGTCCTTGTAATCGTCGCGCCCTCTCCTCTGCTATGCGAGGGATGAGTTGAGTTATGTAAACCCTGTCAAGGGAAACCTTGTACTTGGGTTCCGACTTTAGTTGGTCTTGAACGTGTGTTGTGCTCTAACGTACATTCCTTTTTAGTCCTCTTATTCTTTGTCTTACCTCGACACCATTCTTCATTATATTCGTATTCTGACATAACACATTCAGCAAGAGCCGCATTTACCCATGTCTGATTTATAGGATGTTTAATAACACTAAATAATTATTTCTAATTAGCGTGGTGTCTCCTACCGTACGATAGGACTACCTCATACTTTTGTCGAGAAAGTAGTGGCTTATGTAAATTCAGAAAATTAATTTTTAGAAAATTTACAAAAGTATTACGTTATTGATGGTAGATGATGCCGTGGAAGAAGGAAGAACAAACCTGCCATAAGATAAGCTGTTTTTTTCTTTTTTAACTCTTTCCGTCCTGTGGGCACTAAGAGGGCCTCTTTTTGCAAGCCCGTTATGGGTTCGGTCAGGCCCACAATGGGGCTGCCGGGTGGTGAGAGACGGGTCTGTCATATCCGAAAGGACCACCCCCCGAAATATTCCTGGGGATTTTTCGACCCGTTCGGATTCGAACCCGGGTCCCTCTGAGCGGTAGGTTGCCACCTTGACCGCTCGGCCGTCCGGCCTTAAGATAAGCTATTATGAAGGCACTTACTAAAAAATTGAATAATTAAATAATTTCTGTATTAAAATCGTCTGTTTCTGTATTATTCATAACTGCTTAAATAATCAT